ATTCGTGCAGTTGTTCTTATAGTAACACCAGCAGCACGTAAAACACGTTTTTGAACTTGTGCGAAGTCCAGAATAGGTGTATTAGCATCAGCTCCTTGTCGCATAAAAAATAAAACATTGGTGACAATTTTTCGCGATTGACCGTTCAAAACTTTGTTTTTTACTAAAGATTTGATATCCATGAGGAAACTTTAAATACAAACAACAATAACAACTCATCATCATAAGGTCGTCAGTCGTAAGACTGGTTGGACACGCACTGTTTCCAATAATAAACCTTTAACAACATTTTTCGAATTTTTAATTTAACCGTTCGCGAGCATAGAAGTGACTTCTTTTTATTGAAGACGACTCGACCCTGCTTTATATCCCTACCACTCCTTCCGTTCTGACCTGACTGCCTATAGATACTTAAAATCGGCCACTTCTAATTTTTTGTCTCCTATCATTATATTCACTCTTTCTCTACTTTTTCTTCCCTTGCATACCATTATTTTTGTTTTACATTTAATTATATTCAAACAGTACTGTTTTGTCAGTACCGCATCCATTTCATTTAACGCTATCTCTAATTCTTCCTTGCTAGATGCTAATACTGCTATATCATCTGCAAATCTAAGCGTACTAATCTTTTGCCCCTGTATATCTATCTCTGCAGTTGTACTGTCTTTAATGATGTTGATGGCGTCTTCGATGTGTAGATTAAAAAGTAGCGGTGACATTGTGCATCCCTGTCTGACTCCCTTCCTAATATTTACTTCTCTACGTTGCAGCCCTAGCTCTGTAACTGCCTGTTGCTCTTTATACAAACTAAGAATCACTCTTTTATCTTTGTAACACATCCCTACATTTTTAAGTATATTTAACATCTTGTCCCATTTAACATTGTCAAAAGCTTTCTCTAAACCTACAAATTCTAGGTACGCACTCTTTCTTTTTTCTATCATTTTCTCTATTGCTACCCGTAATGCCAGAATGGCCTCCGGCGTTCCTCTGATTCTTCTAAACCCAAATTGATTTTCCCGTACTAGTTCTTCCGCCCTTTTTTTCATCCTCTTCTATACAATTCTAGTTAAAATTTTTGACGCATGGGAAGTTAAGCTAATTGTTCTAAATGTCTAGCACCTATCCGCGCCTCTCTTTTAGGTATGGTTACTACCACGTTCCGTTTATAATCACCTGGAACTTTCCTCGTCTCGTAAATGTGACTAACTAGCTTTCGTTATGGAATACCTAGCTCATCTATCTCCACACTTCCTTCTCTAATATATTTCCTAATTCAGGGCCTGCGTATAGGTTCTCAAAGTGACCCCTGCATTGTTTCTTATGTTATTACTACAGTACCCTACATCTCTAAAATTCCTTTTAATTATATTATAAGCCTCAAACTTTTGTCTACTTCTTTACAGATCCTATCAATCCACCGTTCGTTAGCTGCATTACACTTCTCAATTATTTCCCACTTTATAGTCTCATATCTTTTTTGCCCTTCTTCGTCTGTCCTGTTTTTATATTTCCGCCTTTTTTCTATTAATCCTACAATCTCATCTGTTATCAAGGGTTTCCTACTTTCGTTTTGTTTAAGACCTCTTATATCTGTAGCTGCTGACTTTAAGCACGTTTTAATGCAGTTTCATTCTGTCTCTGTGACCCTGTTATTCATATCTTCCGCCGCCTTTAGTATTTCGTCTGTCCTTATACCTAGCCTATCATGCGTTTCGTTACATTTTAGCTTTTCTAAGTCAAGACGTCTCCTACCTTCCCCCTTTTTCAGAATTTTTTATTTAAGATTGGTCTTCATAACTACTAAGTTGTGATCGCTATCTATATCTGCTCCTGGATAACTCCTACAGTCTTTCACTTAATTTTTAAATCTTTGCCTAACAAGTATTTAATCTAACTGATATCCCTAAATCACTTTACATTTTCAACTTATAGCGCCTCCTAACGCGACGGTTGAATAAAGTATGCGCGACGGTTAAATTATATTTATCGCAAAATTCTATCAGCCTATCTCCCCTTTCTTTTCTATTGCTTAATCCAAAAGAACCTGTTATTGCACCCACTTTACTTTCACCTTTTACTGCGTTGAAGTCTCCTACAACTATCAGGTTTTCCTGGCCTCTTACTAAACTTAACAAGTCTTCTATATCTGTATAAACCGCTTCTGTACGTCTTCATCACTGTAAAGCAAATAACAACTACGATAACAATAAAAAAAATAACAAGTATAACTGATGGCATTTATTGACGAGCAATGGCACTTTTAAAGCATTTAAGACAATTGGGCTTTTACTGCACACAAACTGTACATAAGGGTTCATTATAAATTTACATGTTACCTTATAGTCCCTACCCTGGATAGTTTAATTAAGTAAAGCTTGCATAAATACAAAAGCAACTTCTGATAATACAATAGCAATCATGTTAATAATCTCTATTATTATCGTAAGTAAATGAGCTTTTTTGTAAATATTTCTGATAGAATTAAGACTACCTGGGGTGAATTTACTTGCGGACAGTGCGATTCCTTTCGAATGTATTTCTTTTCTCTTTTAAACAGTTCTCTCGGAATCTCAGACGTCAAGCTACTTCTGTCAAGTAATACATGCTACTACTCCTTTCAATTTGTTTTTACGTTTTTCTCTTAAAATTTGCTTGTAATTGCTTCCAAAATATAATTGTTATTATGACATTATCAAATGCATAGATACCCTACCAAAAGGTAGTATAAAAAAAAACGGAAAGACAGTTACACAAGTGATTCTATTAGAGTTCCGTTTTTCATTCGACTTGCGGAACCCTAATCCGAGAACTAACTTAACATTGTAGTTGAAAAAGAGCATGTTCTCTCATACATTTAAAATGCAAATGCGTAAATTTGTTTGCATAATATTGTTTTGTTGAAAAATTTACCACGTTATGTTCAGACCATAGACTTCTTATTAATTCTCCTGTAATCTGTAAGTCAAGAACTATTTTCTGTATTTTTTTTCAAAATTTTAGGTTCAGTAATTTCGGAGATAANGGGGGGGGAATGGTCAGTTTTCATCTATTTTCTTAAATAACTTTATAACTATTTATTTTAAAATTATAAAAAAAAATATTTGACACCCTTACAACAAGCCCTCTCATTTGATATGTTACACGTTACAGTTTACAAAACTCTTTTTTTATTTTCCATTGCCCCACCCACAAATGATCCCATCTTTAAAATTAATTTATTTGGTTTGGGTCACAGAAACTTATATGTGTACTAAACTTTAACTAGACAAATTGACTGCGAGAGACGAACAGACAGACACACGAGTGATCCTATAAGGGTTCTGTTTTTCATTCGGGCGTATGGAACCCTAATTATTTATTATAATAAACATCTCCATCTCATGTAAACAATAAAATCCAATAAATGTAAGTTAAGGATTTTGGACGGTGTTACGTTTTGTTCACAAGATTTTGAGAGCTCGGTTACTTTAGGACAGTTTTCAGAAAAGCAGGTGATATTTTCAGACAGACGTGGCTGAAAGCATACATTCCACACGTTCACAAAATTATGCATTTTCGCTCGTACAACATGTTCTGTAAATATTTTACCTTATCTGTATGATTTCTGTTCGGAACAAAGTGAGTTTGTACCACACCAGCATGTGCAGTGTCTTACGGAATACAGAAATTACACATGTCGCACGAGTGAAAAATAATTTAATAGACGTGGGAGATACATTTCTGTCAACCACTTCTAACTGAATATATCACCTGCTTCTCTGAAGACTGTTCTAAGGCCTTAAATGGCATTTTATTTATTTATTATTGACATGGAAAAGTGGCTGAAGGTATTTTTACGAATTTGCCTGTACCACTTCGTATTTTTTAAAAGATGTTGTCGTTCTTTGAGGATTGCATGTGATAGTATATCTATATGTTCGGGTCTCAATTCGCCACTAGTGTGTACAGTTTTATTTTCTCAATGTGAGTGCTTTGACGTTTAAAATTTTTTTAAAACAAAGCAGGTCTGACTAGATTTGGCATCATTATGTTGCAGTGAAACCTACTTCTGTATGTATCGTATATGTTACCGTTTATTTATAAACATCTTTGGCTTTTCGCGATATTATAAATTGACGAACCAACCTTCTTTTCTCTTTCTCGATAATTTATAACCTATAAATGTTAGATTGTCAAATTGTGAGAGAACCTGCAGGATTCATAAAATCTGTCCGGAGCATTTTTGCAGATCTTGTTCAGCTGTACAGCTTTTCTATAGAAAGCATTCATATATCTCTTACCCTTAAGTTACGTTGCAAAAGAAAAGTTGTCTCTAAGAACAGTTCTTTTATTTTAACTAAATAATATACATGCTGTATCAACCCTGAAGGTCCATTATGAATGTTGGTGAAACAAAAATCGATTAAGCATGTAGTTTCGGAGATCACCTCCTACATTCAAACTTACAAACTTTATATCTCTACAATATTAGTGTAGATATGAAATATTATACATTTTTCCCTCATTAATTTGAGGTAGCGTGTAGTGAGTAAAAATTCAGAAATTGAATTTTCAGTATAATATTTCATATTAAACTAACTCACTTCTAAAAAAGATGTCTAAATTGTATGTATGTTTAATCATAGTATATATTCAGTATATAGTTACATCAGTTCGACGGATTGTTAACCTTATAGGTCGGTTGGTTGTGGTTGCTGTTGTCACCTCTCGTAGCTTAGTGGTCAGAACATTGGTGCGTAAAGCCAAAGGTCCCGGGTTCGATTCCCGGCGTGGGTGTGACAACAGCAACAATTTTTCCCTCCTTAATTTGAGGTAGCGTGTAGTGGGTAAAAAATTCAGAAATTGAATTTTCAGTATAATATTTCATATTAAACTAACTCACTTCTAAAAAAGATGTCTAAATATTATGTATGTTTAATTAGTGTAGATATCAATTCAATATTAACCAGTTATCATATACGCAGTATTATACTAAATTATTCTTTGCTATTTAGCGAAATTCCTCAACTGAGCAAGGTTCCGATGAGAGTCAGAGGGCAACATGGGACAATGGTCTCCAATTTTTAATGTCTTGCATTGCGATGTCTGTAGGATTTGGAAATATTTGGCGTTTTCCATTTGTTGCTTACGAAAATGGTGGAGGAGCCTTTCTTATTCCATATATAATCGTTTTAATTATAATTGGAAGACCCTTTTATTATATGGAAATGTGCATAGGTCAGTTTACTAGCAGAGCAACTGGTCAAGCATACAGAGCAATTGGACCCATGTTTGAAGGTAAATAATACAATCAGCTTACAATAATATAATAAAGATAATTTGATAATAAAAATAATTTGCAATCACTAGAGCTTGCAAACGATGTTATTTTTACGCAAATCTTTTGAACTGCTGAACTTGTCTACAGTAAACTTACAAGAAATATTTTGACTTTGTCACTACCATTTTAAGGATATAACCTGTGGTTGACGATATGATTTGTGGAGATTATAGCAAATAAGAACGACCGATGATAAAAAATTGTTGTAGGAAGGGTGTCTAGAAAAGTCAATGAGACAATTTTTTTGGCTCCCTTAAAAGTGGTTTAAATCTTATTTTTATTTGTTATAGTGAAACCCAAACGTTTTTCTGTAATATTTGCTATATTTATATATGAAATATAAGCCCGTTTTCATTGTTATTTAACATGGATTTTTGGAATCCATTCTCGTTGCGACTATATTTGACCCTGTTACCAAGGGATCCTGAAACTATTCCTAAAATTCCCCGATATCCCTTGTTAGAAATATCAAAAAAATATCGACGCGAAAGCATTTAAAGGAAGTTTTGGAAAAATTGTTGCTTTTTGTTAGATCTCTCAATATGGAGTTTTGGAGACTCTTATTTTGGTAAACAATTTTCGATATTGCTATTGGGAACATGCGTGGTAGGAAAAATGTCGTCCTTTAGTTTTTATTAACACAGCGGAGTCCGGTATATATTATGGTTCACAAAAATAAAATTCTTACCGTTAAGACAGCTTTTGTAAGAAATCCATTCGCTCTAGCGTAGTTTTTACGAAAAGTTCTTTTATTTCAACAGAATATGTGTACCCGGAAGTCCATTCTAAATATTGCTGAAATAATTTTTGAATTGGATAAGTAGTTTCGAAGATTACCTCTTACATCCAAACTTACATATCGACAATTTTACAAACATTACTTCTTTATAATATTAGTGTAGATTTGAAAGAATAATACAAAATAATAGTACAGCCTGCGAAAGATCAGTTTCGATCTTCGCTGCGGGCGACTGTCAGTTGCGAGAGATAGTTTTCCCTCTACGTTGCCATTTTAGCTGTGCTCATGGACTGCACCAAAATTCGTTGTTGTATCATCAATCTATGACAATTATAATTATGCTTAGCTTGTACGAAGATTCTTAATGAACTTTTTGTAAAAATGCTGTAGGATATTCCTTGTCGTTCGCGCACAGCTTTACTAAACCTCATCTAACATCTTCGCGTATTTCGGGAAAACAAAGTTACATTTCAACGAAATTTTAATGATAGAAAGAGGATTTTAAAAACTGTAATTTAAGTCATGAATGCATTGCCTGTGATCTATACAGACCGAAAAAATCAATAGCAAAGCAAACCATTTTAACAATTTTTAATTTCTTATACAAAATGTTTCCAACTGACTTTGATTCAACACGTTTCACGGTTATCGTAATTTTAAGCGCTATCGGCTATTGTTTTTCGGGTATCTACTTTTGTTTTGTGCATCTTTTCGGATTTTTTTTCATAACTTCCTATAAACCAATTTATTCCAAAACGCTTACATCCAGTCTACTATTTTCATCCTAATCATCGTGTTGAGAAATCTGCGAGTAAGATTTTTGCTACGGAAAAACTCTACAGTCTGTACTATAATCTTTTCGTTTCTGTTTAAACTTTCGTTATTCATAATACCCTAGTTGTCATTTGGCATGGACTTTACACTAAAATGGTACTAAATATATAAACAATTGACGCGGAAATTTTTGAATCTCATGCGCCTATAGATCCTGGTCTAAATAAGGGGTCAGTGGAGCACAGCTATACATTCGGACTGTCCATACAGTAGGTATTACAAACCTTACATTAAGTGGGAAGAGGTGATGTTAAGGTTTACGTTACGTAACGGAAGATGTACGCTTTGCACTAGCATTGACAAAATTATAAATATTTTTAGTCAATAGATGAATTTCCGTTGTTTGGCAATGTCACTGCACGTTTCACTCTTGATTAGAAATTGTAATTATTTATTTGAAGGTGAATCATTATTGGAAATTAAAATTAAATTACTGCCTAAAACGTTTAAACGTTTAGAATACATGCGTTAAGTAACGAAAAGGGATAATGGAGATGAATCAAACTAGGCGTCGTAGACCCGTTAAGGGTTGCAAATTGATGAATTTTACGTTACCAAACTTGTCCACAAATTTAAATTATTTATATACTGCAAACTATTTATCTGAGGTTACTTCTGTTAACGATTAACATATCAAGCAATCATGACCAATTAAGTAATCCAATTAATTTTCGTGTATATAATGCTATTCTAACCAAGCTCATTGGGTTAATCTGCAATGTTTGATTAAAATGTGATTCTTATACTCAATACTAAATAAAATTTGATATATACACTTTAATTTTACATTTTCGAATTTTTGTGAGTGTCAATCAAGAGGGGGTTTTCAGTTTATGTAAGTTTAAAGAGAGCTTACTGATACTTAAAAAAGAATAGCATTAGCATAGAGATTAAGTGAATGATTTTGTCTGCCTAGTCTGGTGCATAAAATCAAAGGGCCCGGGTTCGATTTCCGGCGAGAGGGAGACAGTAGCAACAATTTTTCTTCATGTATTTGAGGTTATCTGTAGTGGGTAAAGTTAATTAAAAAAATTAATTCACTAATGCCTTGAATTTAACTTACAAAAATTTAAAGCGTTTCGTAACCTTCATTACCTACCGAAATAATCTCGGCTTCATGAGTTCCACTAAGTATAATCCTAAAAAAGTAGGATTATAAATAATAGCCGGGAATGAATTTTTCTTATTTACATTTATCATTAATCTTTATTGTACGTACCTACGTGTATGTTTTTATTATTGGTGAAATGAACTTTTTATCGATTTAATTAATTGTACTTACCATATTTATTTTAGGAATAGCTTATGCTCAACTGATAGGAACAATTTGTGTTCAGACGTATTATTGTTGTTTGATGGCCATATCGTTGTTTTACATGGTCAATTCTTTTACGTCAAATCTTCCCTGGTCTTACTGTAGAGATGAATGGAATCAAAGCCTCGTAGAGCAAGGTTTAGAATGTGTAGCATCAACCTCAAGAACAGCGGCATCAAACTCATCATTAAGTTCATCGGAGTTGTACTATAAGTGGGAAGTACTTAAAGAAGTCTCACAAATATATGATGGGATCGGAATACCAGATTGGAAATTGACTCTTTGTCTGTTATTTTCGTGGATAGCTTGCTTTGTTGTTTCTAATAATGGCGTTAAAAGCTCTGGAAAGTTTTCTTACTTCTTAGCTTTGTTTCCGTACGTTATAATGTTTGTAATTCTTATTCGAGGAGTTACTCTGGAAGGAAGCGCAACTGGATTGCTGTATTTTATTCAACCACAATGGGATAAACTTTTAGGAGCTGATGTATGATACTTAAATATTAACAATTTGCAAGTCACTTACGATTAATTTTTTTTTTTCATTTTTAGGTTTGGTACGCTGCAGTGACTCAGTGCTTCTTTTCTTTAAATGTTGGCTTTGGATCTATTGTCATGTATTCTTCCTATAATTCGTTCGATCACCCTGTAAACAGGTAAGCGAATTTCTTTTCATTTTTCCTTGCTTTAAATGAAATGAATTTGACTGCCAACACACTTCTTTATCGAATGAATAGCAAATCAATATGTGCATTTCTGGTATCTTATGAGAAGTACGAAAATGTTTTAGGATGTTTTTTAATAGACCTAATTCAGTAAGGAAGTATACCAGTATACCAAAATTTTGTCGAAAATTTCTAGGCTCTTTTAGAATGTTCTCGAAAGTTCCACTACTTTTTGTTATTTTTACAATCCGGGAAATAATAAGATGTTTACATATCAAAAATATAAAAATTTTAAAGGTTTGCTGCAAATAAGAATACCATTCGCAAGCACCATCGTTTCTAATGAACCCGAAAGGTTCAACGGAACTGCACAATGTAAATAAGGGACCTAACGAATCTAAATGAACATAAACCTGGAAAAATATTTACATTATATTAGTTTAAAGTGGGATTTATAGATTTCATTGTTTCGTTGAATGGATCCGAGTTCTTACGTATTCTCTACAGATACTTGCATAACTGCATTGTTATTGCATCTGTATCGTATCCAATTTTTAGGTCAAGTCAGATTGAGGTTTTCAGTGCTTTTACGTTTAATATATATTTGATGAAGAAAAGTTACCTACGTGTAGAGTATGCATGCAGAAAATCAGGTTAGCTTAAGTTAGGTTATACAAATATTTTGCGAATAAGAGAGCTCCGACAAGTGCTTTTTTTTTAGTAAGCTTTGATATCTCACGTCCCCTGGTGGGGGTTGTCTTAAATACTAAAGTTGTGTTAAATGTAAGAGCGGCAAAAACCTGAAACGAAAGCCTTCTTTTATGAACGCGCGGGTTTGCTGTTGTTAGATGTCTAAATCTAACTGGAAATAAAGTTAGATTAAATTTAATAAATAAATACAACCATGACAACACTTCCTACGTTGTTTTTTCTTACTGTAAGCAATCAAATAAAAGCATTCTTATGTTAAGGATAGAAAAAAACAACAGGAACGAAGTAATTTCCAATTAGATCTAGACGTATGACAATTTCACTCTTGCTAGATCCCGCTGTCCGTCTGTCCGTGGATTATAAATTATAACCTTTATCGATATCGACTTGAAATTGTAAATACATGACGCAGGTATGAAAATCGTATTTAAAGTAAAATTTTTTCAAAGTAGGCACCATACTTTAAATTAAGGAACAAATACGTATATAAGGTCTTTACTGTTTCTTCGAATTCAACTAACGCCTTGCTGTTGAAAAAAATTAATACACTTTAGATATAAATATTACGAGGTCTATCACAAAAACGATTAAGTTGAGAAAATTAAATTCAGATCATGAACCCTATATCCTTTTAATATTTTTAGAACTTTTACGTTTTAGAAAATTGACAAAATTATTTTATTTTCTACGTTATCGATTTCTAAATATTGGATAGATAAGGTAGCTGCTTGTACAACTTTCCATTGATAGTTTGTGACGCTTTTCGTTAGTGACATCTTCATGATGGATGATCGTCTACTTGAAATCTCGTAAATGAGAATAATTTAAAATAAATGCTTTCTTATTAAGTACCCTGATTGAATATTAAATCAATTTAGTAATAATAATATAATTTAAGAGAATGTGATTTGTTTTTCCGTTTTTTCGTTTTCCCTTCTCTATAATGATAACAAAATAATTCAGTAAAAACAATTACGAAATACCTATTTTTTAATTAAAAAGTTACTTAATGAAGTTTGAAGAATTGCTGGAAATATTAAAGAATAAATAATAATATGCTGATGTTTGGAAATATTGACTAATTCATAAGGAATAATGAACAATAATAATGCTTGGGAATATTATTGCATCACACTGCAGTTTTTTTTAGAAGTTTTACAATAATTTAAATGATAGAAATGTTTGTTGTTCGTTCATTTTGTGGACGGCTACATTAATTGAGAATGGTTTGTATAATGGGTTGTCTACTGTAGGTTCCTATCGTTCGCAATAATCGATAAATACATCACTTTTCCTCAGTTATTCCCTTACAACGAATTAATTATATCAGGAAGGTTTCGAATTTTNAGTTCTATAAGGAAGAAAAAATGAGAAGAAACAATCTGTGTGGTGTCGTCGAACATAAGGAATTGAGAGCCAGCCTAGGGAATAGGGGATTTGTATTTAATTTATAAAATAATTTGATTTTTAAATTCTTGGTTTGTCGGCACGCCGTAGTTTCAAATGAAAAACATTTCAATTACTTTTTCATTGGAATTAAACAATATACAGTCGAATTTTTGTAATTCAAAATCTTTTCTAAGTCGAATCTTCTTTAGTATGCATATTGCTTTACACACATCTCCAATTTCTCAATTTTTCTAAGTGGAATTTTTCTCTAACTCGAAATTTGAATGCGAGTTTTACATTACATTACTTCGATTTTCTATTAACTATCTTCGAAAAAAATTAGCCGTAGCAATAATCAATGTCTCCAGTTTTTAAACTTATTATCACTATAAATTTTCACTGCGGCATTCTGTATTATATAGATAAGGCAAAACGCTCATCAAACATAGAAATTAAGTACATAATTCTTCATAATTCTTTGAAGGAATTTTTTCTCTTTATGACGCACGAACGAAAATGTATAATTTCGTGAACATATACAATAGACTTACATCAATTCCACTATTTTCATCCTAGTCATCGTGTTGAGAAATCTGCGAGTAAGATTTTTGCTACGGGAAAACTCTACAGTCTGTACTATATCCTTTTTGTTCCTGTTTAAACTTTCGTTATTCATAATACCCTAGTTGTCATTTGGCATGGACTTTACAATAAAATGGTACTAAATATATAAACAATTGACGCGGAAATTTTTGAAACTCATGCGCCTATAGGTCCTGGTCTAAATAAGGGGTCAGTGGAGCATAGTAATACATTCGGACTGTCCATACAGTAGGTATTGCAAATCTTATAGTATATATTTCTTTAACAGCATCTACGTAAAAATCTATCTAGTGATATTGATAATTCACTAACCGACATAAAGTTTACTAAAAAGATAAGAGATAGAAGATCGACATGAGGTGCTTCACTTTTTTTCTTAATAATTTTGAACGCTATTAGAATCTAATTATACTACTTAAAATAATTCGAAGTGGTCTGTATTCTGTCGAAACTGCCAGACGCGGATCGCGATTTCGATCTTTTTGGATCCCATCAGCACGTCGCAGGCAGCTCCGACAGAACACAGACCAACTTTTACCTGCTGTCTTAACAGTGCGTTTCAGAAAATACTACAAACTGTGCGAAACGCACTGTTAAGACAGCAGGTAAAAGTTGGTCTGTGTTCTGTCGGAGCTGCCTGCGACGCGCTGATGAGATCCAAAAAGATCGAAATCGCGATCCGCGTCTGGCAGTTTCGACAGAATACAGACCACTTCGAATTATTTTATTCGATTAAGCTAACGTGCCTATCACGTTGAGGGTGGCTACGCCAGGATTCGTTTTCAGCAAGTAGATATCCACACAAGTGGACCTTGTTGAAAAATACGTAATCCTAAAATGTAGCATCGTGCTACAGATTGCGTTCACTGTGCCGTTTGTAGTATTTTCTGAAATATACTACTTAAATTGACCGTTTAGTAGTAAAATTGACATTAATTATGTATTTTAACAGAGATGCACTCATTGTGACTACGATTGATACCTTCACATCATTGTTATCTGGTGCAACAATTTTCGGTATCTTAGGAAATCTGGCTAATGAAATGGGGGTGGAAGTAAGTGACGTTATAAGCACTGGTGGTAGCGGGATCGCATTTATATCATATCCCGAAGCGATTGCAAAATTTGATCAAGTTCCATGGGTATGTACTAATATTATGTAGGTATAGGTATATTTAAATAAGAATGTTTTAACAACAATATAATGAAATAAAACAACTCGACAATTGTTTCGACCTAGTCGGTCATTTTCAAGAGTATAGAAATATACAACTAAGACTAAACATTAAAAACTTTAAACTTTTCGGTGTTTCATTCCCACCAGCCACTAGTGCTGGTAGGCGGGCAGTCCCTCTGGACTACGCCGAAAGGTCGGCCGGATGGCCCTCTTCAGCCTTCTTTCAGTAATCATGGAAATGAGTAGGTGGTGGTTTGGGTGAGAAAGATGAGACGGACGAAATGAAGACAGATGAGAATGAAAGACTATCTATGGAATATTACTGCTTTAGCATTTGCCTAAATGATCCAAGGAAACCACAGAAAAACTTTGACTAAGGCAGACGGATCCGGAATCGAACCGGCGTCCTCCCGAATGCTAAGCAATGGACTAAACATACAAATTTTCAATATTTATACTTAAACTAGGAGAGTGGGGTTACAATATAGAGGAAGGGTAAACAACATTGAAACTTTGCTACTATATTAACAAAGGTGTATTATTATTGGTTAGTTATTCTTTCTGATTATTATCTATAATTTTTCCTGATTGGGGAACATTCATAATCTCTAAATTCTCTAAAAGTGTAAGTTTTCCACTTTTTGGTAGTGTAATTTTACATTAAATAACTCTTATATTAAATAACATTATAATGTTTATTTATAATGCAATGTTCCGTTAATCCTGTGGAAACCTTTTACTTTCTTATATTGTCGACGTGTTCTTTAGAACGAGTAATAACAGAACGTCCACATTGTCCAATGTATATAGCTTCGCATATTGCACACCTACATTGATAAATGCCTCTTCTCTTTAGTTTGTCTGGTTTGGTTTTGTTGTTTACTAACGTTGCTTTTATTAACATCAATAGCCTGAATAACAAGTTTTAATTTTTTGGCTGGTATTTTTAATGTATTTTATAGCACAAAATCTGTTCGATTTAGTTTTAGAAGTGTTATGGAAAAGTTCAAAAAGTATTTTTGTATGAAACTTATTGTGAAGAATCCTTTCAGCAATGTTAGCATCATAACCATTATTAACAGCTATCTGCTTGATTGTATATTCAGTTCTATAAGGAAATTTTCAGAAAGTGGTATGTGTACTAAACTATGCAAAGCTGCTAATTTAATTTGAAAATTTCTAAGCCTAGTCTTAGTTATATATTTTTGTACTTTTGAAAATGACCGAATAGATCGAAACAGTTGTTCAGAAAAAAATAAAAAGGTGAATTATAAAAGCGGCAAAATGTGTACTTAATTCGTTGTAGGACATGCCAACTGTACAGATTAATTTAGATATTAATACAATATACAAAGTACAGTAATTGCTTTACATTATTCATAAAGTTAGGTTAGGTTGAGTAAACCAAAGTTGTCTTAATTGACTAAGTACAGTCTTTTAAAATCACAGAATAACAACCTAACCTATCCCAATTACTTTAATTCAAATTTTAGCCACATCATGTCATTGTTACATTAATTTATTTGTTTAATACAACAGGAAATCTTAAAAATGTAGTTGTTATAACTTCATTTATATTTAAAGTTTAACGTAAATTTAACTTCTAGCTGTTTGCCATACTCTTCTTTCTAATGCTGTGGGTACTGGGGGTGGGAAGTCTGGTAGCACTACAAAGTACATTTAATTCAATTGTATTAGATGCCTACCCTAACTTAAAAACGAGTTATGTTTCTGGAGCAACAGCTATTATCATGTTCCTTGTAGGACTTGTTTATGTTACACCGGTAAGTGAATTAATTTTTATCAACATTATTAAAAAACTAATTTATTCAGAGGCAACTATGTATTCGTTTAATTAGAAAGAGTTTACTAACACAATTGGTAATTTAGTGATTACAATAATTGCCCATTTTAATGACTGCATCAGCCGTTTCACAAACGAATGCGGAAAGGTATTCAGATATTATTTATTAATAATAATTCGTAACAATGTGCATTAGAAACAGTTACGATTTTAACTCCTGTTGAATGAAATTAGTTTGAACTTCTACACTCATAAACGGTTAATAACAATGTAGGTATAGCCACCTTGATATGTACGGTTATTAATATATATATATTGAAAAGGAGATCTTTTGTTTTACATAAGAAGTTATGTATTGTATGTTTAATTACTTTATGAAATAATGATGAATGTTATGGTGTCTAATTTTTTGTTTATTTAAAATAAGTGCATATAAAATTGCCTGAATAGGAACTAAGGTGTCCGGGTGGATTATTATTAAATACTAAAGAGGAAGTTTTTGTATATTTAAACAAAAAGAAAAAATGTAATTTAGATTATATAGAAGAAAAAATTTAATTCAGTAGGAATTATAACATAATGTTAGTTGGGGATTTTAATATAAAAATTGGGAATGAAGTATGTGCAGTAAGGGAGGATAAATTTCATATAAGAAATTCAAGAGATAAATATGTTGATAGGAAGGGGAAGGAATTCATAGAATGGGGAACAAAGAATGGGCTGGCGATATTAAATGGAACTATAGAAGGGGCTAGAAAGGGGGAATATACTTCTTTTAGGGAGAGGAAAAACCGCGATAGATTACGATATGTTTAATGGGGAAGCTCGGGAAGAAATTGATAGGTTTGAAGTCATGGGCATGATAGGATCAGACCATTTTCCAATAGCATTTGAATGGAAGAAAGAAGTGAATGATAGTAGAGAGGAATGTGTGAATAAAGTTGTTATTAAATGGACAGAGAGAGGTATTGAAAAATACAGAGAAAATATAAATGAGAGAGTGAATGAAATTCACAATTGGAAAGAGATGATAAAAATAGTAAATGAATGTATGATTAAGGAAAGAGTAGAGGTGAGAAGTTACAATAATAGATGGTGGAACCCTGTATGTTTGAGGAAAAAGAATGAATATATAAGGGCATTAGGTAAGTGGAGAAATAATGAATGTGAAGAGATGGAATATAGAAAAATGAGGTGGGAATATAGGGACCAGATTAAAAAAAGTAAAGAATAAGGGAGGTAGAAAAGAAGAGGAGAGAAAGATACCATGCATAGAAATAGGTGAAGTTATGAAAAGAATAAACTCATTGGCAAAAAAAAGGTTTGTGGGGAGGACGAGATACCAGGTGAAGTTTGGATATATGCTGGAGATTTTATATGCGATAAATTACATGAGATGTTTAAAGGGATATGGGAAAATAATGAAATACCTAGTGAGTGGAAATGTGGTGAAATAGTACCAGTGTGTAAAAAGGATGGAAGGGATAATGTTAAAAATTATAGGGGTATAACGGTCATGGACACGGGGTATAAAATATATACCGATATAATCAAGAATAGACTAGGGGAGATGATTGAAGAAAATGATATTTTAAGCGAAACACAATTTGCCTTTAGAAAGGGAAGGGGTACTATAGATGCTATCTTTTTGTTAAAAAATATTATCGAATCATATTTAAATATTAAAAAAAAGGAGTTTGTGGTATTTGTGGACTTAAAAAGGGCATTTTATACGGTAGACAGAGGGGAATTGATAAACATGTTACGGATGGGTAAAATTGAAGAAAGGTTAATTGGGAAAATAATGGAAATACATAGGGAAACTGAAGGGGTTGTAAGATTAAGTGGTAAGGAAACAAGGAAATTTTGGATGGAAAAAGGCGTAAGACAAGGTTGTAAGCTGAGTACACAACTCTTTAATATATACCTAAGTGATTTAGAGAAAGAGATCAGTAAAATAAGGGAGGGTGGGGTAGTGGTAGGTAGAAAGAAAATATGGACCTTGTCGTATGCTGATGACATTGTATTAATAGCCACGAACCATAGTGCATTAAAAGATATGATGGGAGCGTTGGAAAGATATTTAAGAAGGAAGTGTTTGGAGTTAAATGTTAGTAAGACTAAGTATATGGAATTTGGA